AGGAAGAGGAGGGAAAGGCAGCAACGGCGGCGGCGACAGCTTTCCTGGGATGCCCGCCTTTCCCCCTCTATGTATTTCCCTTCCTTCCTCCTCCTCCTCCTCCTCGCAGGGCCGCCCTCTCCTCCTGGGCGACGCCGTGGACGCCCCTTTCTCGCCCGCCGCCACTGTACAAATTCGGATTAAATGCGAAGGAGGCGAAAGAACTCCCGACCTTGGTAGCGGAGGGCGGAGATGTCATCATCCTTCGTCCATCCGTTACGGTCCCGAAAGCTGTCACAAGAAAACTCGTCCCAAAATTCGGCAACCCCCGAATTGGGTTTTCCAAATTCTGTGATGATGATGAGGATTATTATTATTTAGGAAACAGAGGGCGGGGTTGGTGTCTGCATGAATTACAAGGGAAAGAATTTAAAAATTAAATAGAAGGACAAATGAAAAAGGACCAAAATGTTGGGGCACCTGAAAGGGTGTGGGAGCTTTTGAGGACTTTCATCATCATCATCATCTTAAGAACTGCAGAGTAGGAAGAGACGCTGTGGATCATTGAGTCCAGACCCTCGGAGCAGTTTATTTATTTATTTATTCAGTGTAATTTGCCTATCAAATTTATAAAAAACATTGACAGGTATTATATCATAAATGCAAGTTTTAATTTTAAAAAGTATCTGTTAAATATTGACGATAGATAGATAGATAGATAGATAGATAGATGTGTAGCCTGTATAATTAAAAATTGTAAACCGCCCGGAGAGTGCTTGTAGCGCTATGGGGCGGTATATAAGTCCAATAAATAAATAAATAAATAAATAAATAAATAGATAATGTCAATATTTAACATACTTTTTTAAAATTTAAATTTGTATTTATTATACAGTATATGTGTGCTGTTCCTAATATTGCAATTTTTTGTTGCTCTGATGTTATTTCTGAAATCTGCAACAGCATATAATACAGTGTGAAAATTCTTGATATTATTCCCACAATGGGAACCACTGAAATGTGTTTCATCCACAAGCAAAATGTTTCGATTGCCAGATCTCTGTATTTTGTTAGTTTTTCCAATTCTTTATTTTCAACTCTGGCATCCCCTGGAATTGCAATGTCAATGATCCAGAGACCTGTCTTCGTTCTATTACTACTATGTCTGGTGTGTTATGTTCAAGGTGTCTCTCCGTTTGGATCCGGAAATCCCACAAGATCTTGACTTCCCCATTTTATGACACCTTCTCTACCTGACGTTCCCAAGGGTTTTCAGAAGCTGGGGAGTTATTATTACTTTTTTGCATACTCACTAGTACATTAATTTTGCCACTGTATCCTATCTAACTTTGTAGTCTGTGCAGTCTTTGGACACTCACAGATGAGGTGTGACATAGTTTCATCTTTTTCTTGGCGGAGTCAACATTCACTGTTATGTAACGCAAAAAAATTTGTCAACCGAAACGTGCTTTGCCATAGGAACGGGGGCCGCGCTATAAACCCCCAGGCACAATGCATCCTGGGGAAACGTCCTTCATACTGCGGGGGAGAAAAACATAAAACATAAACTGAGGCATTATTTTCAATGGATTTCCGTTTGTAAACCGAAAATTACGCTAACCGAGGCGTTCATAAACCGAGGTACTACTGTACTTCAAAAGGCCAGATGCAGGGGAGGAGAATCAGGAGACAGGTCTCTAGTTGTCTCTTGTGCTCCCAGAGGCATCTGATGGGGCCACCGTGAGATCCAGGGAGCTGGATTTAGATGGGCCCTTGGGCTCTTTTGTTCTTATGTAAGTCACAGTATCAGAATCCAAGGAACTTTTCGAAGACTTAACTCACCAGATCCTCACTAATTCAATGGGACTACTTTAGTGTGACTTACTACGCCAAGCAACAGGATTTCAGCCTACAATCTGCAGATGCAAGCCGCAGCCACCATCAGACAGATGTAGCACAGTCCACCAAGACACAAAGCGAATCGAAGGGGAGGCATTTTACCTCCTCCAACCTCACATCAGCCACGATAAACAAACCTTTGAAAGTCAACATTGGTAAGAGCTGCTTCCATGTGAACTATTGTGGTAATGGATGGCTTAGGCATAAAGAAATATCTCAACTTAAGATTTATGGGATTCACGGCATATGTACAGTATTTTGATTTGCAACAGTGAGTAGATCAAAAAAGTTTCCATTTCCATTATTTCATTACTTCACTTCCCCAGTCCTCCTGTTCTAGCTGCTGTTAAATACCCAGATTCGTGAGCCAAATGAGAAGTTGCCAACCTTATAATGGATAAGGCTAGCATCCTTATTGCAGACCACTCATGGTTAATGTATTGAACCCAATATGTCTCCAACCTGCAGTTCTTAGGCAGTGGGTCCCAAACCTTTTTGACTCATGGCTCCCTTGACTTACTGGCCATGGTTCCCCAATACAATATTTTGAGTGGGGGGAGGAGAAGTGGCGGGGGGAGCATGGCCTGAGTAGTACTCCATGAAAGAATTCCCCAGACCCTCTGGCTGGGTTTGGCAGTGCGCCAGTGCACCGTTTGGAAACCACTGTTCTTAGGAAATTATGGGATTCGATTGTTACAACAAACAACAACACTGGTAACATTTCTGTTGAGAAGGACACCAGGAGCCAATTGTACTGTCTCCTGTTTTGTTTCAGACAACAACAACACTGGTAACATTTCTGTTGAGGAGGACACCGGGACCCAATTGTACTGTACTGTCTCCTGTTTTGTTTCAGATCAACATAATTTCAGCAGAATATACAAAACTTGCATGGATTGGAAAAAAAACACAACAACACTGGTAACATTTCTGTTGAGGAGGACACCGGGACCCAATTGTACTGTACTGTCTCCTGTTTTGTTTCAGATCAACATAATTTCAGCAGAATATACAAAACTTGCATGGATTGGGAAAAAAAGCAAACCCATTCACAGCATTCTGTCTTCCCTTCTTCCCAGAAATCTTCATTCTAAAACAGGAAATGTTTTGAATACAACACATCCTTCCTCTGTAAGGGGGACAGGCGGCAATGCAACTGTTCGTTCTGTTGGGCCTGTTTTTAGGGACAGCCATCAAGGGGTAGGACAGTGGCCTGCAGGCCTTACCCAGTTCCACTCCCAAATCGGGAGTTCCTGTTTGCAACTGAAGATGGGCCTTTGACAGAAGGAAGGGGTCAAGGCCAGCCAAACGAATCTTCCCCCATGGAGAGGCATAGGAAGGAGAAACTCATCTTGGCTGGGCCACCTTCCCAAATCGTGGCTCCTGAACAGCAATGGGAAACTCAGAAATAAAAGCAAGTAGACCTTCCCCCCGCCCCCTGCAGAAAGGATCTGTTTGCTATATTTGGAGCCGATACTGTCGGCTAAAGAACTTCAACGCTACAGAGATTTGACCCTATTATAACCTCTCCACCCAACTCACAAATCCGGTGCAAGACCAAACATTTATGTTCTTTCACACCTGACAATATACAATGGGAAGAGTGTCTTAAACCTACGTTCAAAAGCTTCCCACACAGAGTGAAGATGCTTGAATTATTCACAAAAATGTCCAATTCATTCATATCCGTTTGCTCTGTGGCTACTTAGATGTTCAGTCCAATCGTATCCTCTCGGCAGCCTAGGCTAATCAGATTCATGCCTCTGTACATTCCCCTCCCCCCTCCCCGGACAAAAACATAGTTTGTGGGAAAGGATCCCTCCACAATATGGACTGGAATTCTCTCCAAAGTTTATGTGCTTGATCTGTCCAAACCAAACTCTCCCTACACTTGATCCATGTGTCTTGGATCAATCTGAGACAAGATTCTCCCACATGAGGGAGATCAGAACCATTCATCTCCTCAGTGGATTCTCTTGACAATCAGTCCTTGATTTAAGTTTTTCTCATGTCAAGAATCTGCATATGGAGAGTACAATATTTTTGTTTAGTTTTTCAAATGTTTTCCATCACTGAAGCATTTTCAACATGAAGACTATCTTTTGATTTCTCTCTAGAATGACTTCTCTGATGACTGATCAAGGCAACTTTCTGAATGTAGCTTTTCCCACAATGAGAACATTGGTATGGTTTCACTCCAGTATGAATCCTCTGATGGTTCTTCAAATACTCTACCATGCTGAAGCATTTCCCACACTGAGGACATTCGTACGGCTTCAACCCTGTATGAATCCTCTGATGGTTCTTTAAGTATCTTCTCTGATTGAAGCACTTTCCACATTGAGAACATTGGTGTGGTTTGTCTCCAGTATGAATCCTCTGGTGGTTTTTCAGACATTGAGTCCGGCTGAATCTTTTCCCACATTCAGGACACTTGTACGGCTTCTCTCCAGTATGAATCCTCTGATGAATGGTCAGATTCCTCCTCTGACTGAAGCTTTTCCCGCACTGAGAACATTTGTAGGGTTTGACCAGGGTATGAATTCCCTGATGTCTCCTTAAGGCTTGTCTAGAAGTGAAGATCTTCCCACACTCGGGACATTCGTGCAGTTTCTCTCCAGTGTGAAGCTGCCGGTGGTTCATCAAATGTTCTCTCTGACCGAAACACTTCCTACAAAAAGAGCACTCGTACGGCCTCCCTTCGTTTTGAATTCCTTGATTGCTCTGCAGTGGGGTATAACTAAAACTCCTCCCATGTGCTAGAGATTTCTCAGGCGTTTCTTCCACTTGATGGCTCTGATGCCCATCCAAATGACTCTTGACCCCGTGCTCAGAGAGTCCATCTTCATTCCCTCCCACGATCATTCTCTGACGCTTACTAGAGAAAGAACTTTGTGGGAAGGCCTCCACCGACAAGGGACAACGTTCGTGGTCCTCTCTGCCTGGCACCGTAAAGAGCATTTCTTCCCTTTTATGTGCTGCAGAACTGGCTAACTGGCTAACTATAGAAGTAAGAGCTCCCGGCGGTTCGTCAAATTCATCCTCTGTCTTTAGGGTCAGTTTCCCTTGTTCCTCTTGAGGTTCACATCCTTCCTCACACATCTCCAGCACGTTCCCTTGGCTTCTTGGTGGGACGGTCCAGGCATCGGCCTCTGGTACGCTGATCTGGTCTCCCCCCCACTGTGAATTCTCCACCTTGAGCTGGCTTCCTGCTTCATCCCCTGCAAAGACAGAAAGAGGATTTCTATCCATACGTTCAGTCCGTCTATTCATACCCTTCCTTTGTCCCAAAAAAATGTTGGAGGGCAGCTTTACGGACCGGTTTTAGATCAGATCAAGTCTGAACCCTCAGTAGAAGCTAAAGTGACTAAATAGAAACTTTTGTACCCAGGGCACACCACAAGAAGACAAGACTTGCTGGACAAAACAGTCATACCCAGCCAACCGGAAGGCAGTAAGAAAAGAGGAAGACCCAAAGTGAGATGGGCAGACTTAATAAAGGAAGCCATAACTTTTCACTGGCATGACCAGAGAGGGGGGTTGTTAAGGACAGAATCTTTGATCGGTCATAATTTCATAAGGTTGCTGTAAGTTAGAAAAGATTTAATGACATCTAGGATTAATGTCTATGAGCAATATAGGGTCCATGGAAGGAACATATTCAGACATCTCAGGACCATTGGTTGGAATCTGGAGTAGGGGAAGACCTCCTGCTTTGAAGCCCTGCTTCTCGGATCTCATCTGACTGGCAACTGCTGAAAGCAGAACGCTGGGCTAGAACCACGGAATAATAGAGTTGAAGGGGACCTATAAGGTCATCAAGCCCAAACCCCTGCTTAGTGCAGGATTCCAAATCCAAAGTAGATCTGACAGATCTACTGAAGTTTTTGGTTCCATTGTCGTACTGTTCTAGCAATTAAGAAGTTTTTTCCCCTGACATTCAGCTTAACTCTGGATTCCTGGAGCTCGACCCCATTACTACATGCCCTGCACTCTGGAGTTCCAAATAGAACTGGAAGTTTTAGCATGTATATATTACTGAAACAGCGATGTCTATGTTGGCTTAGGCATGGCGTGAGAATGGCTGATGGTCGGATTCCAAAAGATCTCCTGTATGGAGAATCAGTGCAGGGAAATCGCCCCAGAGGGAGACCACAGCTGCGATACAAGGATATGTGCAAGCAGGATCTGAAGGCCTTAGGAATGGACCTCAACAGATGGGAAACCCTGACATCTGAGCATTCAGCCTGGAGGCAGGTGGTGCACCATGTCCTCTCCCAATTTGAAGAGACACTTCTACAGCAGGCCGAGGCAAAGAGGCAGTCCCGAAAGCAGCAAAATCAGGGAGCTGGACAGGGGACAGATTGGATTTGTCTCCAGTATGGAAGGGATGGTCACTCTCGAATTGGCTTCCTCAGCCACACTAGACGCTGTTCCAAGACCTCTATTAAGAGCACATTACCATAGTCTCTCAAGACTGAAGGATGCCTAATCTAATCTAATCTAATCCCATCTAATGTAAAGCACTCTGGAAGGACTGAGAACAGAGCCCACCCTTCCTCAGACTGTATAGAAGCTTCTATGGTGCTTTGTGGTGTACAACAGAAGGAGATCACTGATCGGGGAGAATCATCAGGACCTCCACGGCCTCAGCAGGCATTGTACCAACCTCTACCATCCTCCAGGACCGATTTGCAGAACCGCAAATCCATCTACTTTGGTGCACAGAAAGCGGCAGAAGCAGCAGCTACAGGGTGGGTCTTAAATGAGGGACCGAGGAGACAAAAGGGAGGGGAGACTTTCCTAGAAAACACGGTTTAAGGCTTGAGGTTCACTTGCCCAACCAGCGACAGTCCATATAATGGCCACTTTCCTCTCGATTTTCCCAGCGACAGTCCATATAATGGCCACTTTCCTCTGGGTTTTCCCAGCACTTTCCCCACCCTATATTCACTCACTGTAGAAGGAACTGGAAACTCTCGCAGCACAGTGGTTAAACTGCAGCACTGCAGGGAGACTTTTGGGGCTATGTAGCAGAACAGTCTTGTAACTGCTCATCCTGGCTGCAGTTTGCCAGAGTGGCCGGGTGAGCAGGGAGGCAGGGCTGCAGCCGGGCTACTGCCGCCATTGAGGAGCTGATGATGATGCCGCTTCGTATTGGTAGGCACGGGTAGCTGGCCGGATTAACACCTGCCCCCCAAGCCCCGCTGGACCATTTACTACGTGGCGCCATGCACACCACGTAGTAAATGGTCCAGTAGCGTCTGGGGGCAGGTGTTAATCAGGCCGGCCACCTGTGGCCACCAGGCCGGCCATCTCTACTCACGAACCTGGGTTCAATCCTAAGTAGCTGGGCGTGCATGGCTGGCATCCTCATCAGCTCCTCAATGGTGGCCGTAGCCCGGCTGCTGTAGTACTGCCTCCCTGCTCACCCGGCCACTGTGCAGCTGAACAGGGAGACCCGTCTTTCCACTCCCTTGCCAGAGTGGCCGGGTGAGCAGGGAGGCAGGGCTGCAGCCGGGCTACTGCCGCCATTGAGGAGCTGATGATGATGCCGGCCATGCACACCACGTAGTAAATGGTCCAGTAGCGTCTGGGGGCAGGTGTTAATCAGGCCGGCCACCTGTGGCCACCAGGCCGGCCATCTCTACTCACGAACCTGGGTTCAATCCTAAGTAGCTGGGTTGAGGTTCATTCAACCTTCCATCCTTCTGAGGTCAGTAAACTGAGTACCCAGCTTGCTGGGGAAGGGGGCAAGATGCGTGATGAAATGGTAACCCCCCCCCGAGAGTGCTTTTAAGTGCCATGGGGTGGTAGATAAGCAGCATGCTTTGCTTTTTGCTTTTTTTAAATGCTTTGTTTCTTTCCAGAGGTAGGCATTTAGGATCTGAAAGAAAAACCTATGTCCGTCTCTCAGTTCTTTCCACATTTATGAATGGCCAGTCCTTCCTGGATTTAGTGGAATGGAGTAACCGAGCCGCTTACCCAAGAAGTCCATGCTGCCTGAAGCCTCTTGCAAGACCTTCCAGACAACGGTCGGCTGACTTGGCTGGGGCCGGCTCTGACAGTCTCTTTGCGCCAGTGGGATCGTTTCCTTGCGATCCACTGGTTCCTGCAAAGAGGAGAAAAAGAAACAGCCACCCTTTCTCTGTCAGATTTGGTTACAGAAGAAAGGGGATACATCCCACACTAACCCAATCCCACCCCCAAATTAATTTATTGCCACAAATATACGGTGAAAAAGATTTTTTTTAAAAAAAGCACATGGCTTCGTATTTTGGGATGAGGTCAGGTAAGCGACTTGGGTGACGCTCAGGGCTAGGTTTTCTCTTCCTAAGAGCTACACAAGATCTAGAAAGTGTGTGTGTGTGGAGCTTTTAATTTTATTAGTTAAAATTTAATAGCTAAAAAAACCCCCAGCAATTGAATGCTGTTGTTTGCCAAAAGAAAAAGTTATTGATTTAGTTTTTTATTTGATTTATATCAACTGCTTTAGAACTGCTGGATAGCTCAGCAGTTTAGGCATCTGGCTGTGGAGCCAAACGCTAGGAGTTCGATTCCCCACACGTGCCTCCTTGAGAGGGGCCGGACGCCATGATCCAGAGAACCCCATCTAGCACTGCAGTGTTATTACTTATTTATTTAAATATTATTTATTTATTTATTTTAAATAGTTTATTATTTCATCTCTCTCCTCTAGCGGGCATGCTACTCTGGGAGGTTTACAAATTTAAAAAAGGGGGGAAAGGAAGGGGAGGAGAAAAGGAGGAAGAGAGGAAAGTGGTAAAAATATGAGGAAAAATCAAAACAGGAAGTAAGGGGGCATCCACTGAAGCTCCCTCCTCAAGGCTAAATCTGCTGTGCTGGGATGCTTCCAGCGCCAGAAAAACACGTTACTTCCTCCAGGTCTTCAATTTCTTTCCCTCAAGGAGTGGGGTTCAAGTGTGCCTGATCAGGACCAGCCTTGGGCCTGAATGCAGACTGTGAGTCGTGATCTGAATGAACAACTGGGTGTCAGGTCAGCAAGGCTGAAGCTTAAGCACCTTCTTAAGAGCCCTATAGACATTTATAGACTTCTAGGAAAAAACAGAATCCTGTACGTATTCATCACAGCTGGCATTTATCCCTGGAATTAGCCTTTCACAGATAGATAGACAGATTGATTGACTGATTATTTATTTATTTACTTATTTAGTATATTTTTAACCTGCCTTTCCCATTTAAAAAAGGACCCAAGGCATGTTACATCATTAAAAGATAATATTTAAAGCTACAAACAGTAATTAAATAAATACTAAAACGGATTAAGCAAACACCACTCTAAGAAATGGTAAATAAAAGCAATGCTAAAACACGTTTCTCAGCAATTAAGGCACAACCATCCATTTAAAAATCCCCCTCGGGCAGTCAGCCACTGAAGGAAAACTTGACTGATGAGAAAGGTCTTGGTCTGCTTGTGGAAGGACAGCAAAGATGGGCTCAGCCCGGCCTCCAGTGGGAGGGAGTTCCAGAGTCTGGGAGCAGCAACAGAGAAGACTTTCTCCCGTATCTCCACCAAAAGCACCTGTGAAGGTGACAAAACTGAGAGAAAGTTCTCCCCTCATGATCTTCACATCTGAGCAGGCTTATAATGAGTGACACAGTCCTTGAGTTAGCTTGGACCCAAGCCGTTTAGGGCTTTACAGGTTAGAACCAGCACTAAATGCCAGCTGGGACAAACACAGGCACCTGATTTTTCCTAGAGCTCTATAAAGGTCCACAGGACTCTTAGAAAGGTAGTCAAGCATCAGCTGGTCACAAATGAAAAATATAAAACACTGATCTGTACTGATCCTGTCTAGGTGGCAGGAGGATATGTCTCAACCTAACATCTATGGGGGCAGCCACACCGGTGCATATGTCTGGGGCCCCTAGATCCTGCTCATAACAAAATTGAATCACCACCATGTGATGTACCTCTTTCACACCAGTTTGGACCACCTCCTGTCCTTTAGGAGAAAGGAATGAACTGGATTGGCTTGGGTACTTCATTGCACTGCCTGAAAAAGTCAGAAAGAAGGTTTCAGAAAGGGAAGCTCTTCACCCGTTCAACGCAGAATATAGAAACAAAGCGTCCAAGTTTTAAAAGGGAGCAAACAAACTTTAGCAACAGGAACAACTTCTTTTAAAAACCATTCATATGTTATTTTAAGGGACCAATCTAAATATTTCAATGGTACCACCTAAAATTACAGAGGTTGGGAGTTCGATTTCCATGAAAAATAGAAGCCAAGCCTTGTCTTCCGTAGTGGAGCGGAAGTCAGACATCTAGCTGGTCTGATGCCCTGTACGGCCCTCTGCATTTCCCCAAATCTCTTCTGCCAACAGACTGATGGAGGTGCCTTGGCTTTACTCTCCACCTGGTCCGGTATTTTGCAGCCCGTCGATGCAAATGAAGCAGAACACTCGACAAACGAATGAATCCTTACCCAACACACGAATCCCCACGTCACCGTTGGGTTCCACTTCTTTGACCAGCTGATGCTTGACTTTGCAGATCTGTCCTTTTGCAGGGTTCGAGGGCTTTCCTTCTGCTTCCAGGAAATCCAAACACTCCTCTTTCAGTGGCCCCTGAAGTGTAAAGGAGAAGTAAAGAAACAGGAGGAATGTGGCTGGAGGAGGCTCTTGTATGGGCACAACTGTAGGTGTGGTTATATTGTGCTATATATATGGTAAAGGAGGGAGGGGGAAACAGGGAAAAAAATTTACATGCATTATCGGAGCTGGCCACTAGAGGATGCCAGAGATCATGCTATGTACTCTTCACTAACAGGTCCTGTATTTTTCCATGTATAAGACACTACTTCTACACTAAAAATCGAGGGGCATCTTTTATACATAAGTAAGCTGAGATGACTGAGGAGAGAACAAAAAGGCACATATCTTGCTTCTGTAAACAGGCTTCCTGCAGTCACGAGGCTTAGCTTCCCACAATCACAAGGCTTAGCTTCCTCCAATCACGAGCCTTATGGAACTAATGTCAGCTGATGCTAAACAAACCAATTGGAACAGAACGCTTCCTCCAATCACGAGCCTTATGGAAGTAACGTCAGCTGATGCTAAACAAGCCAATTGGAACAGAACTCATTGGAGGCGGAGCCTGTGGGCTCAGATTCAACAGGGACTCATCATGTCAGAGCGTTCTGAGCCCAGAGGCTGAATACTCAAAGCTAGTTTTTTCTTAATTTTTGGGTTAGGAAAGGGGGATGTCTTATAAACAGGGATGTGTTATAAATGTAAAAATACAGTATTCACAGTCTCTTGCTCCCTCTACTGGCATTGATACATGTGGAAATAGATTTTTATGGATTTTTTTATTTTCACATTTTTAATATTTTCAGACTGTGGATAATGATCCCACAGATACAGATGTCTTACTGTATCTTTCTGTCTCTTTGTTTAATCACCAAAAGCTTCCCAAGCAATGTTCCAACTACAGTGATGCCCCACTTGACGACAAACATCCATTCCAGAAAAATCTCTGTTAAGCGAAATCGCTGTCAAGCGGAAAAAAAACCCATTGGAATGCACTGAAAACCGGTCAATGCGTTCCAATGGGGAAATACCTCATCGTCCAGCGAAGACTGCCCATAGAGAACCGCCAATCAGCTGTTAAAAATCGCTGTCTTCCAAAGCAGAGGTTCGGAAAGCAGCCATTTTGCGAAGGGAGGGAAGCCATTTTGCGGAACTGGAAAAATCATTGTATAGCAAACAAATGGTTCGCGAAGCAGGCTCCTAATCAATGTAATGCGGATTTCCCCCATAGGAACCATCGTTTTGCGATCGCAAAAATGTCATCTTTAAGCGATTTTGACGTCATGCGGGGTAAGTGTCTAGCAGGGCACCACTGTATCTCTTGTACCCATCTATGCTAGGAAAATATCTCATTTATAAAGGTCCCTATTGCAAATAGCTTGAAAGGGCCAAAGACTCAACCAAAATATAGCATGGTACCTTTACATTTAAAAGTACAGGGTGTGGAATAACAAAAATTGTTACAGAATTAATATGAACAAATTGTGGTATTATGCGCATACAGCTATGGCACAGCTACCATCAAATTGTTACAGAATTAATATGAACAAATTGCGGTATTATGTGCATACAGCTATGGCACAGCTACCATTAATGCCAACAAATTGGAGCAGGTTTAGAGAAGAGCAACAAGGATGATCAATGTAAACAATTACTTAAGGAGGTGGTGAGCACTCCAATGCTGGAGGCATTCAAGAGAAAATTGGATAACCATCTCTCAGGTCTGCTTTTATTTGGATTCCTGAAATGAGAAGGAGGTTGGACTCAATTGCCTTATAGATTCCTCCCAATTCTATTATTCTATAATTCTCTGAATGACCATTTATTGATCATTGTTCATCATAATGGTGAATTTGGAAAGGAACATGGCAAAATGGGTTGTGTAGAAAATTAGGAATATATCTGTCTTCAGACTTCTGTATTAAGGCAAAATATGATTATAAATAAAACAATTCCTATTATTATTGTTATTGTTGTTGTTATTATTATTATTGTTGTTGTTGTTGTTGTTGTTGTTGTTGTTGTTGTTGTTGTTGTTGTTGTTGGTAATAACAACAACAACAACAACAACAACCAATAGGACCAATAAAGAAAAGTTAAGAATTGTGTGTGGTAAATTTTGGAAGGGTGGAATTCTCTTCAGTTGGAGCAATGGTTCTTAACCTTTGTTACTCGGATGCTTTTGAACTGCAACTCCCAGAAGCCCCAGTCAGCACAGTTGGTGGTGAAGGCTTCTGGGAGTTGCAGTCCAAAACTCCTGAGTAACCCAAGGTTAAGAACCAGTGAGTTGGAGCATCTTAAGCACTCAAAAATGTTTAATGAGAGGAGGGTGCAGGTGATGGGTCAGGATAATTTCTGTCTTGTCAACTGATATGAATCTATCAATTTTTAATCAAATATCTTCACAACCTAATTCATCTCCTATGTGAATCTATCAATTTTTAATCAAATATCTTAGACAACCTAATTCATCTCCTATGACCTCTTTGTGACTCTGAAAACTAATTATTAGAGCGTTACCTCCCACTTCCCTTTCTGTTTCTGTTGCTGGCTCACGAAGTCCTCCGCCAGGGCCACGGCCTGGGAACACGTGTCGGGGCCTCCTGCCCGGATCCAGCCCTGGAGGTCCGGGGGAAGGCTGGCCAGGAACTGCTCCAGGATCAGCAGCTCCAGGATCTGCTCCTTGCTGCGTCTCTCCGGCCTGAGCCACTGGTGGCAAAGCTCCTGGACTTGGCTGTGAAGCCTCCGGGGGTCTTCCACCTCCTGGCAGGAGAAGTCCCTGAAGTGCTGGCGCTGCTTCTCCATCCTCAGGGCATCCTTTCTCAAGATCATAGCCTTCACTTTCCCATAATCCTCTTTGTCTTGGGTGTCCAGGCTTCGAAAGGCCTCTTCCATTTCTCCACTCAGTGCTGGCAGGAGCTGGGCCACCCACTCTCCTACGGGCCACCGGCAGGCGTTGGCCACTTGCTCAAACGAGGCCAGAAAGGCTTTGGTATCATCCCACGGCACTGCCTCCAGCATCACAAGGTCTGTCTCTCCTGCATTCACAGGCTGCATAGTCTTCAGGAATTCCTGCCACTGGTCTTCCCACTGATGCGGTAAACCCTCGCATGGAGCCCTTTCACCCTCTTGCAGTCTTCCCTGTCTGAATCGCCCTTCCATGTTGTCAGGCTGAACTGTACTGGTGGCTTTTGCCACTCTTAACTGGTCCCCTCTTGGGTTCCAGTTTGGCAGATCTGTGCTCCTTTTCTCCTGACACAAGTCTCGTTTTAGTCTTTCTAATCGCATTCAAAAAAAGAGAGAGCTAAATCATGTTACATTTTCCTAAAAGCGAAAAGACGTGATAAAGGAATCTACACTGAGGAATAAGAGATGACCTTTCTCAATGATAGATGATCCTTTGCTCTCAATCCTTTAAAATCTTGCTAGAATTATGGAGGAAGGGGAAAAAACCAGTCCCTCCCCCTTCCACAGGTGTTCTTGCATTGCTATAGGAAGAGTCAGCAAGGATGATGAGAGTTCCTCAGCAGCAGAAGCTCAAGCGAAGGATTCTTGAGACGAAAAGGAAGCTCACCCCTGAGTGAAAAAGAAAAAATGGGATAGGGAAAACAGCAAAAGGAGAAAACCCTAACATTCCCTGGTGGGCTTATTTTGCTTAGCTTCGAAAATCTGATGGGATTGAGGGTCCTCATGGCAGTGTGGACACATGTGTTGTTTTACATGCCACCAAGCTGCTTCCAATTTATGGTACCCTAATGGGAAGGCTGACCCAACTCCGGAACGCCACCAAGCTGCTTCCAATTTATGGTACCTTAATAGGGTAAAGGTAAAGGGGAGTTTGACCCAACTCTGGAAGGCAGTGAAGGATAGGAGGGGCTGGCGTGCTCTGGTTCATGGGGTCACAAAGAGACGGACACGACTAAACGATGAATGGATTTTTTTGAGCTATGTGAGATGTTCAAGGAGTGGCTTATGATTTGTCAACTCCCCTTCCCCATGAGTTTCCTTAGATGAGTAGAGATTTGAAACTATGCTTTCTGAATATTACACTAACACTCTGTCCGTTACACTGTACTGGCTCTGGCACCACTGCCCTATCACACCAGAAGAAAACAGGAATGGGTAGCTATTACCCTCCATATCAGTGGTTCCCAACTTTGGGTCTCCAGATGTTCTTGGACTACAACTCTCAGAAATCCTAGCCAGCACAGCTAGTGGTGAAGGTTTCTGGGAATTCAAGTCCAAGAACATCTGGGGACTCAAAGTTGGGAACCACTGCTCTATAAGTCTCGTGAAAGTTATTTGATGTATTCTCGAAAGTTACTTGACTTGAAAGTTATTTGACTTTATCTCCCATTAGCTTCTGCAGAGGAATGCGGTGAAAAATGATATGTAATGGTGTGGAGGAGGGGACTACTTACCACCAGCTGTGCTAGTTCAAATTTGGTATGGGTTGGAAGATGGAAGGATATTTAAAAGAACCACTGCAGCTCTGTGGTAAAGAATAGGGTTTCCACACAGTTTTCAGCACAGGATGAATCCCTGAGGCCTGTAGGTACAGCTAGGGAAAAGCCTACCTGAAATCAGGCAGAACTGCCACTAAATCAATGTAGTAATAAACATCATTGATTTTGATCAACGAGGTAGCCCCTTACATCCATGCTCCCTGAGGATGATGGCAACTCTAGCCAACGTTCAGAAGATTGATTCAGATGCCACAATGCTTAGAATCATCATATGACAACTTCCTCTTTCTGTATATAAAATGCTACTTACAGTGGTGCCTCGCTAGACGATGATAATCCCTTCCACTGAAATCGCTGTCTAGCGAAATCATTGTCTAGCGAAAAGCAAATCGTCATCTAGCGAAAATCGGTTTGTGAAGCAGGAACCAAATGTTGTCCAGATAAATTCCCCCATAGGAATCACTATTTTGCGAATCACTATAGCGATCGCAAAAAGTCAATGTCTAGCGAAAAAACTGTCATGCGGGGTAACTGTCTAGCGAGGCACCATTGTATTTCTTTTTAATTTAATTTTTATTGCAAGGTACTTTGGGGGTCTCCTCTTATCGTGATGATACAATTTGCAAATATCCAAATAAATATTTTCCAACAAAAGAAAACATCTTGGGGAACAAACTATTGGGGGGGGCAGAGTAATTTCTGGACTGTAACGGCAACGAATTACTCGTTACAAGTAACTGCCCCGAGCTACGAGCGCCCTTTCATCCCCTAGCTTCCAAATTTGGAGTCCCTTTTGTGACTCCCATCACCCACCCAGTCTCCTGCGGCCAGTCTGAAAAACCCGTAGCAGGCACCCCAAAATCATCGCACAACCTCCGTCTTCCGCCCATCCCTCTCAATGGGGGAGACCCCGCTTTGGCACGGCTGGTCACCCCCTTTTTATGCCCGCTCACCTCCCAGCACTTCTCAATGGGAAAAGCTCCTTGTGTTTGCCCAGCATCTCCCCCACTTCCGGGAGGACGCTCTAGGAGGCGTCATCAGAGGGCAAGGAACCATAGAATTGACCCGACTCCGTGTGCCCAGATCGCTTCCTCGCAGAAGGCGATCTGGCAGCGTCACGTAGACGCTCTATGGTCTCTCCATCTGTCGCACCAGGAGGCCCTTAGCAAGAAATATTAATAATACTTTATGGGAGGGAAAGAGAAACATTCCTTAAGGCGTAGAATTCATTGAAACACCCCGACTGGTGGAAATAGTTGGAGGGACACCTAATTAAAAGGCATGTCTACATTTAACTGGATTTGATTTAGATTTAATTTAAATCGAGAAGCCTAAATTCAGGGCTGGAGGTTGAAGACCGAAAAGGCAAAAGGGACAGATATTGCTTTTTTTTTTTTGGAACGACAGTACTGCAATTAATGTCATCAGCAACCTTCCCCATCTCTGGTCAAATTTGTTTTAAAAGGGGGATGGAAATTAAAAAGGGAAAAACTGGTATCTGGTGTGCATATGACAGAAAGAGCTCTTGGTTTGAAGGGAAAGTAACAGTGGTTGGGATTGAAAGACCATAAGTCATAGATTCATAGGATAGTGAAGTTGGAAGGGACCTCTAAGGCCTTCGGGTCCAACCCATTTCTAAATCTTTCATTTTCCCCTCATAGGGCTTGATTTCCAGCCTCCTGATCATCCTTGTTGCCCTTATTGGTGGAATATGGAGTACTTCTCATAGCAACAAATAAAAAGACTTCCTGTCAATGGGACTTTGCTACAAATTTAGTGGTGTGTTGTTGTTTTCTTGGCTTCAAACCATAACAGTTTCAGCAGAATACACAAAACCACTCCTGCTGTTAAAATACATTCAAAATACTTGATTTCCACATATACCAAGAGATACAACCTGCTACCGTGTTCCCCCCAAAATACTAATTTTTGCTCCAAAAACTGCATTCGGGTTTATTTTCAGGGGATGTTTTAATTTTTTCATGTACCACAATCTTTGTTCAAATACAGTCATGGCATCTTCTTCTGGTTGCTGCACAATGGTGGAGGGCACGGTTTAACTTAACTGAGGCTTATTTTTGTGTTACCATGACAATTTCAGCAGAATATATGAAACTTTTATTTTTAAAGCATTCAAATTATTCCAGCTTCCCTTCACCAAAATTTCTCAATTACAAGAACGAAAATCAGAGTAGTACTTTGAAATCAGCCATTCCTTCTCTTGGGCATATTTACAGCTACCAACTTCTAGGATTGTGACTTGGTGGTTGTTTCACACTTGTAACCAAAAATCTCATCCCAAACGGCTCCACTCATATGAACTGTCAGTTCCCGTTTCCTATTGACGGTGGGCATTTTGCAAAGGGAGAGGGGTTATCGGTGCCCCCACACTGATGCATGATGTAGAAAACCTGACCATTCCCCAGTGATGGAGAGGTAAACTGAAAAAAGTACATGTTCATGATGACAGTCTCTGTAGCCCCCACCCCAGCAAAAGAAGTCCCAAAATACAGACAATTGGACTGGTTCGTACCAACAAATGAGGAACATGAATTTTGTAAACCTAATGGCTCTTGACGGCTCATTTAAATTCAAATCACCTTCAAATACAGTACATAGCAACAGGGGCAGCTTACCATAATCTTGTGTTCCTGAGAGAAATCCATTTAGCTTTTAGCTACTGTGAGAATGTCAGAGTGCAGAAAGGCCTAAGCAAAGTGATGAATGATGTCACATCCCTGCTGCTTAGAAAGTCCCATGACTGTGACCTTTGTAAGTCCTGGCTCCACTGCACTCCCATCCCTCAACCTTCCCCATCACATCCATCTAATGTGAACAGTGGCCCCTGAGAATCACAGAAATACAGTAGAACCTCCTTATCCATGGGATCAGTATCCACTGAGTCACTTATCCACAGTATGAAAAAATATTACAAATATTAAAAGAAAAATGTTGAGAGATATATACCAGAACTGGCCACTAGAAGGAGCCAGAGACCATGCTATGTACAGCATTAGCTAGCGAAATAGATTTCCATGCAGTCATTACCAGAACTGGCCACTAGAGGGAACCAGAGACCATGCTATGTACAGCATTTGCTAGTGAAATAGATTTCCATGCGGTCATTACCGTAGCATTTGCTAGAGAAATAGATTTCCATGGAGTCATTACCGGATCTGGCCACTAGAGGGAGCCAAAGACCATGCTATATAGAGAGTTCTATTAAAATGGTGTTCTGCATTTTTCACTATCGAGAACCGATACCCCGGGTCCTACTGTAAAACAACAGGTAGAAAGTAGTTTCATCCCCAGACATCTTTGAGCAGCAGGGGAGGCTGGCACCAGCAGCAATGAGGCGGTGAAAGAGAAATGCGAGCACACAACACGGGGCATGGTAGCAAAACAAAAGCTTAGGAGACTGAGAAAGGAAGTGAAGGCAATACAAGGAGGGGCAGCATCCTGCAGACAGACTGCTAGTCCTGCTGTATTGCTGCTAGGAGGGCCACCCCACTCTGCTCAACAGCAGGGCTGGTCCCACAGCTTTTTGTGTCTTCCAGGACTTTCCTGCTGGGGAACCAGCTGGCTTTCTCCACCCATCCCTCAATGACAGTTTTTCAGAATGGTGAATAGAGACGCCGAGGTCTTCGTCTTGGAAGGGAAAACACCAGGCGTTCCCCTTTGCAAGGAGTCCATTTAGCTCCTTTTCTCTGGACTCCAGCAGTTTTTCTTCACGCTGTCCCTCACTGAGGAGGGCAAGGCAGGGTTCTGTGTGAAGCACATACAGTAGGACTGCTATATCCACAGGATCAGTACCCATGGTTTCAGTTACCCACTGTTTGAAAATATTAAATTTTTTAAAAACTCACACCCAGAAATGCACATTTCCAAGGTGTATTACCGGAATTGGCCACTAGAGGGAACTAGAACTTCACGCTGTCCCTCACTGAGGAGGGCAAGGCAGGGTTCTGTGTGAAGCACATACAGTAGGACTGCTATATCCACAGGATCAGTACCCATGGTTTCAGTTACCCACTGTTTGAAAATATTAAATTTTTTAAAAACTCACACCCAGAAATGCACATTTCCAAGGTGTATTACCAGAATTGGCCACTAGAGGGAACTAGAGACCAAATAGGGTTTGCATATTTGTGGTGTTGGTGGTTTTTTTTTGGCATCCATTGCATGGAGCCGATCCCCTGCAGATAAGCAACTCTACTGTATTTTATTCTCCATAGGTCAGGCTCCCTTGGGTGAGTTGTTTAACTCGCATACCACTCTCATTAGTGCTGAGGTGCCACTCTGTGTGGTTTACAGCAGACACATACCAAAAAGAAAAGAAAAAAAATACAAAAACGAATTCGCACCTCGCTATAAAAACAGATGGCGCAAAACCAAAAATGCAGCAACAAACCTGGAGAAATAAATGTCCTTCCTCCTGCAGAAGAGGATTGGGAGACACATGAAGCTGCTTCTCCCCATTGCTCTGACTTCAGCCTCTACTAAGCTTCCTTCAGCTGAAGGTATTACCCTTATGAAATATTGATGCTGCAGTACGATTACGTTTGCTTGTTTGTTAATGGATATTCTACCTCCCCCCCCCCCAGGGCTCGGCGTAAGCCCAAGGCAGTACTTATAGCTGTCCTCTCTACGTTATTCTCACAGTAACCTTGTGGTGGCTGAGAGGAGCCGATAAGACCACAGAGTCCAAACCCCTGGGCAAAGATGGTGGAACAGAGCCCATCACCTTTTTTTGGTTTGTGTTTTTTTTGCTTGGGCCGTTTGGCTTCATCTTGGCTGGCATGCCCTCCAGAGGGGAATTGGGATGCCAAGGGAACTGCCAACCTTCTATCCCTCCTCACAAGTTTTGTTTTCTGGCGTTTTTAAAGTCTTGGGGGTGCAGTGAATAAACCAGACTCTACTTACTCCCAACTTGAGTTTGATCCCAACAGGCTTAGGAAGCTGGCACGAGATTGACTCAGCCTGCCATGGTCCCGATCCATCTCACAGGGGGCGGAGCAGGGGGGAAGGGAGGGAGGGACAATGTGTAGCCTGCATCATTACACTGTAAATTGTAAAGTGTCCAGAGAGTGTTTTTTAAGCTCTCTGGGATGGTATAGAGGCAGCACACTTTGCTTTATTTATCTGAGGTAGGAAAAAACCTTGAAGAAACCTGAAGGGGGCAACTCCAGTGAAGCAGGAAGATCCGCGTCCCTTTGTTGGCTTGCCTGAAACTGACACGGGATGCTTCCCTCCCTGCACTCAGGCCTGTCCTGACAATTAAGAGTGAGTTATTCGACCATCCCAAGTTGGTTTCCTCAGCCTGAGTTTTCACCTCCATGAAGACAAGTGGGATACATGTCTAGATCATTCCAGAGAGCAGGACATGTAATAATGAGCTCAAGCTACAGGAAGCCACATTTAGGCTGAATTTTAAGAAAAACTTCTTAACTGTTAGAGCAGTATGACAACGGAACCAATTACTTTGAGAAGTGGTGACGGCTCCAACACTCGAGGCATTCAAAAGAAATTTAGACAACCACCTGGCGGATATCCTTTGATTTGTATTCTTGCATTGAGCAGGGGGGGTTGGACTTGATGGCCTTGTAGACCCCTTCCAACTCCATTACTGTATTTTATGGTTCTGTTTCTAAATCAAGTGTATTATGTGCCTTGTATATTTTATCACAATAGACTTCCTTCAGTTTATTTATTTATTTGTTCGATTTATATCCTGCCCATCTGGTATATTTTACCACTCTTGGGCGGCTTACAGCATATTACATTCAACCCTGACAACGATAAGAAAAATGGAAGAAGCAGCAAATCAGTAAGAGTTAATTTTGTTAATATCAGGGAAGAAGTTACACTTGGAAATCACACAGGATGATGACAGGAAAGAAGCGTGGCTTACCGAGAGAGTAAGGGAGAGAGGACATGAGAGAAAAAGAGAGTCTTGAAAAATGCATTGGCTGTTAGCTACACAGGAGGATAAACTGGGCGACAGTTCGTCCCTCAAACTGAAAAGCGTTTCAGCCAATTTATGGATGTCCGATAATGAGTGAAAGTGACAATCCATCAAAATATGCCCTCTGACCCCTAGAAGAAAACAAGGAGGGGCTTAAGGCTGAGAATTATTAAACTCACTGCACCTGAAGCAAAACTGACTTAGTCACAATGACACTCTCGTTTAAATCAACTTCATTATTGCATTTTTCCAAATGAAGTTCTTCCCACCTTTGTGGCATGACAAGTTCTGTCCTTTTTCGGTTCTCTCATTTTGAATCCACTCGAGAGAAATCTCCCAGGCTCCAGAGACTAGAATCATGCCTTCCTGCACTGATTCTCTGATAACCACTCTCACTGAAACTCTCCCATAATATGGACCACTACATAAGCAGAATAAGCTGACCGCTGCTTCTCCAAATTGCATTATCAGTTCAAAGCACTTTCCACACCCAGAACATCCGTATGGTTCCTCTCCATATGAATTTTCTGATGATTTATCAAGGCTCCACTCTGGCTGAAGTTTTTTCCACAATGGGAACATTTGTACGGCTTCAATCCCATATGTATTCTCAGATGGTTCTTCAAATACCTCTTCTGATTGAAACACTTCCCGCACTGCGAACACGCGTACGGTTTGTCTCCGGTGTGAGTTCTCTGATGGTTTCTCAGACACTGGCCCCGAACGAACCTTTTTCCACACTCAGAACATTTATAAGGTTTCTCCCCAGTATGAATTCTCTGATGGATTTTCAAATACCTTCTCTGATTGAAGCATTTCCTGCACTGGGAACACACATAGGGTTTCACTCCTGTATGAGTCCTCTGATGGTTTTCCAAATTTCTTCTCTGATTAAAGGATTTCCCACACTGGCAGCACACATATGGCATCCCCGGAGTATCTGTTTCCTGACCTCTGGTTAATGTTTCTCTAAAAGGCTCCCCTTGACCAAGCTCGGGCTGATGCTGACTTTTTGACTCAGCGTGGAGCTGATGATGATCGGCCAGCTCTCCTTTGTCCAGGAAGCACTTCCTACAGTGAGAACATCCATACGGTCCCCCTTCACATTCAACACCTTGATTTTTCTTCGACGATTTCATATACTTGAAGCTGGAAGGATTATTAGGCGTCTCATTTTTGCGGTTGCTCAGCAATCTCTTCAAAATATGCCCTTTCCCATCCGTTGCCAATTCGGATTTATTTTCTCCTTTACCCATTCTCTGATCTTTATCAGAGTACAGATTTTTCTGGAAATGTTCCTCTGACATTCCGGGACATTCTTGATGACCCTGCTGGGCATGTAGCCCATCAAATGCTAATTTGTGGTGATATTTTCTATCGTTCTTGCTCAACATGGGCATTTCGCCCACAGTATGGACTTCCAAAGATTGATGAATCACAGCTTTAAGGCCTTTTGAGAGCTCCTTATGTTTGTTCTCACTCTTCTCCAGTTCCATTGTGGGCTCACATCCTTCATCAAACGTTTCATCAGCCTCTAGCAGAGGCCCCTGGCTCATGGTGGTATCCTTTGGTTCGGTTCCCTCATGCTGAGAATTCGCCATTTTGACTTCCCTTCCCTTCATGTAACCTGCAAAGAAAGGGAGAAGAAATTGGTCCCTCCTGTGATGATTTTTTTAATATGCTTGTAACTAGGCATGGTTTTGAAACTATAGCTCCCGGAGGATTATAGGAATTCTTCCAATTTGGGGGGATTTCAGCCAAAAAAGCAAAAACAAAACGCCAGTCCTTTCAGATCTTTGTGATCACCTTCAGCAAAGAAATAAGGGCTCCCCTCAGACTTGATGAACATGGAGAAAGCGGCAAGGCAGGGGGCAGGCTTGATGGGAATTCCAGGAGATTATGGGTCTGGTCGTTTCCTGACAGGCACCCTGCATGCCGCATAATAGACTGCCAGACCCATAATGCCTTGCAGCTCGCATGGAAATTGGCCCCAGCCACCCACTTCCTCCATTGTTGCTATGTCTAAGAGAAGCCATAACTTCTCGGCTGAAAGGGTTTGCAGACACCTGAAAGGATGGGGTTTGGGGTTTGCTAAATCCCCCAGAAGTCTGGCTGAGGGAATTCCTGCAGACCTCTGGGGGGCTTTAGTCCACCAATTCCAAAAATCCCAAGTCTACTTGCAACTTCCGTTTCTCTGCTCAATCCACCTTTCTTACCTCCTCTATGAACCTATAACCCCTCTCCCTTTTCTAAGGCTTTTAAGTCAGCCAAGACCTAGTATAATATCAAGCCCATTAAATTAAAAAAGGGGGAAGCCGTGTGTTCGATACCGATGCAAGAATAGGCGATGGGCAATACCTTTATAGAGCCCTAATCAAAAAACTTAGAATCATACAATATGCAATCGTACAATATGGGCAAATCCTGCTTCTTCAAGGCCATGTGCCAAAAGTCCAAAAATGTTCATGGCCAGATGGATTTCACCAGGCAAACTGTTCTTAGATGTAACCAGGAAAGAAGCAGTAATCAGTATGATTGTTTTAACCATACTGATTACTGCTGAGGTAGCCGTGGACTGGATTTCACACCCCAGCTCTTCCCCCCTAATACTTTTCAGGAATTAATATTCCTAATATTTCAGGAATATTAACTCCTAAAAAGAGCATTTCACGTTTCAAAATATCGCTAAATAGAAACTTGTAAAACTCCTCCATGGATTTCTCATGCAAGAAATATGAAAAAGGAAAGGAAAAGTGGGTTATGTCCAAACCGCCGGACAGATACCACTAGCAAATCATATCCCATATATGATTTGGGATATATTAATTCAAAAATACATATTCCTAATAAGGGTTAGATTTTATTTGTAATAACTAAGAACCCATGGGTGTTTGCATATTTGCTCACAAACCACAGGGGGTGATTATTACTGCTTAACCTCATGGCATGAGCAGATATTATATTTATTCTTGCCTTCATCTTAGCTGTATTTGCACGCTGGCCAAGGCATATAGGAAGTTTCCAAAAAAGGGCCATATTTAATAATAGAGAGGTGCCATTCAGAGAAAGAGACCTACCCCAGACACCTAAATTTCACTCACCTAGAGAAGGGCCTTATTTCAGAGGCTTCATTACAATCTCAGGCCTGCTTCTTGTTGTTAATGTTGTTAAGTAAACTGCTGTTGTGATGGGTGTTGCAATTCTTCAGGAGGCACCTTCAACTGTGCCTAAAGGACAAGATCTTTTTCAGAACATGAGCAACAGGAAGTAAGCCACTCAGCCTCTGAGAGAAGGCCCTGCTGCAGGTGAGCAAAATTCCCAGGATTCTACCAAGGGAATTCATGGAGAATTCTGGGAGTTGGAGTCAAACAAATCTGAATGGTACATCCCTACTTAACATCACTGGTTAGGCCTCACCTTGAGTACAGTACTGTGTCCATCCTTCAAGAAGGATGCTAACAAATTGAAACAAGTTCAAAGGAGGGCAAAAAGGAGGATCAGGGGGCTGGAAACGAAGCCTTATGAGGAAAGGCTGAAAGAATTGAGCATGTTTAGCCTTGAGAAAAGAAGACTGAGGGGTGATGTGATAGCACTTTTCAAATATTTGAAAGGCTGTCATACAGAGGAGGGGCAAGATCTGTTCTCGATCATCCCAGAGTGCAGGACACGCAACACTGGGCTCAAGTTAAAGGAAGTCAGATTTCGGTTGAATATCAGGAAAAAACTCCTGTTAGAGCAGTGCGACAGTGGAACCAGTGACCTCGGGAGTTGGAGAGGGCTCCAACACTGGAGACATTCAAGAAAACTAGGATAATCACCTGGCAGATATGCTTTGACTGCATTCCTGCCTTGAGCAGGGGGTTGAACTTGATGGCCTTGTAGGGCCCTTCCAACTTCACATTTCTATGATTCTATGATCGCAGGCAGAGGCTGTGAGCAAGGACAAGGGGGGCTGAAGGAACAGAGAGAGGAAGGAGCCAAAGGAGGAAAAAATAAGGGAAAGCTACCTATGGAAGGACATAATGCATTAGGCATCCTTCAGTCTTGAGAGACTATGGAATCGTGTTCTGAATGGAGGTCTTGGAACAGCGTCTAGTGTGGCTGAGAAGGCCAATTCGAGAGTGACAATCCCTACCACACTGAAGACAAATACAATCTGTTCCCTGTCCAGCTCTCTGATTTTGTGGCTTTCGTGACTGCCTCTTTGCCTCGGCCTGCTGGACAAGGGCCTCTTCAAATTGGGAGAGGCCATGGTGCACCGCCTGCCTCCAGGTTGACTGCTCAGGTGTCAGGGTTTCCCATCTGTTGAGATCCATTTCCAAGGCCTTCAGATCCCGCTTGCAGGATCAGGACCATCATCATCAGCAGCAGCAGCAGCTTAGCACTGCAGAGCTGGACAGGACCCTATGGATTATCGAGTCCAGCCCCTCTCAAGGAGGCACAGTGGGGAATTCGAACTCTCAACCTATGCCTAAACCACTGAGCTATCCAGCAGTCTGTGGTCTTCACTATCCTTCACAGCTGTAGCAGCATGCAGTGTCCACTTTTCCATCGCTCTTTGTAGCATTTGGTTTGTATTTCCCTCAAAATAACTAGAAATGGAGTAACAGCCTGTACCGTGGGTGAGAGTGGACCTCCTTGACTGGAGGTTTGAGA